TATCTATTTACCTATGATTCATTTCGTCTATCAAAATTCAATCCAATCATTATGGTTGTTAAAATATTATATGAATCATATAAAGATGAAAGTTACTACTACACCCATAAAAATTGAAGAATTTTGTATTGAAGGGTTTTGTAATTTCACTTAAGTTGACAAATAAATTTTAAAAATAAAAACCAAACAACCGGAAACTTAAAGAATACATTGAAAACTAATGACAATTACAGATAATTTTGAAAATATAAATAAAATACATGAGTTAATGATGAAGAAAACTGATAAAAAAACATGATACCAATACTAGAAATTGTAAATAACATTCTAGATTTTACCTGTAATAAAAGAGAAAAAGAATTGGAAGAAATTAATAATATAAAACAAATGTTAAAAAATATTATTCACGAAAAATATAAATAAAAATAAAATTGAGGAAATACATGAATATTACAAGAAGATGGAAATAGATCGATTAAATAATTTAGGAAAAAAAACAGAAAGATAAAACATTTTAAAAAATATATAAAAATAATACAATATGAAAATAAAACGTCCGTACCCTTCAATTAAATTGGATACGATACCCTGTAAATAAAGACGTTAACAAAAGTATCTAAAACGCTTTAGTTAAAAAATAACTCTCCTAAATCCTCATGCTAAATAATAGTCTCAAAACAAATTCTTGTTCAACCAGTTATTCTAATAAAATATGGAGAGAATTTTTTTTATTGGTGACAAATTTATTTCTTAATTTTAATTTAATTTAAAAATTATAACTGCAAAATTTCTTTGTTCTCAACTTCTTAGATCACTCTCTCTATATATTTATTCCTAATATTTATTTTATTACTTTTTTTTATCATTTTAATTTATAATTTCCATTTTATTTTAAAATTAAATTTCAATAATATATTTAAAATTATCAATAAATTTAAAAAAATTGTGTTGTAATATAAATTGTTTATTATAAATTCAAAATATATTTATATATTAAAGAATATTTATGTTACAAATAAAATTTTAATTATAATAAAATTTATATGTTAAAAATATAATATTTTACATATTATCTTCATTTTTTTTATTAATTCGTTTAAAATTATTATACATAATTAAGACATATATTAAATTTTTTCTATTTTTATATAATTATTTTAACATTTCTTACTATGTCCCATTTTATTTTTGTTTCATGAATTATAAATTAATTAGAAATTATGTCAAATATAAAAGTATAATTAATAAAATAATAATTAATGTAACTTTTTTTTGAAAACATGTATAGAAACAAAATTTTGTTAAAACACGTAATATTATTTTAATTAATTATATAAAGTAATCATTTATACTAGTTCCTCTATTTTTTTATTTATCATATTTTTAGTAAAATTTTATTTATATTTATTTGTCATTTGTAAGTTTTGAGACATCATTAGCTATTATGTAATAATTATACTCTTACTTTTTATTTAATTTTTAATTAATTTACACATGATAATTAATATACTTTTATTATGAAAAAATAAAATTAAAAAATTAAAATTATTCTATAAAAAATTAAAAAAAATTATTATATTTTTTTGTGTAAATGTAAATAAACCTTAAATAACTATTATAAAATACATGTTTTATTGGAATAATCTTGAAACTTTCACCACCACGTGTATGTATCAGCTTAAAGTCGTATGAACTATTCGTGTCAGATTGAAGTAAGAGGGTCTGACCTCTGTGATTTTGTCCAGTGTTGTACCTCGATCATCTTTCTGATTCCCAGCGAACCTATATCTTAATTCACGTAACCAATTATAATGGTTAACGTCTCCATTTTGTCATTGCACTATTACCATTTACCATGCATGCATGTCTTGCTCCACTGTCATCAAAGTCACTGTATATATTGCCTTCATGAGGGCCTCCCTTGCATTCATTTCTGACAAGTGCATGAAAAAAGCCCTCTTCTTTTAATATCCATGCTCATCCCGCCACCTTCCTCCATTTAAATTTCTTCATCCATGTTGCGATATTGATATCCCTATCGATGAAGAACCACAACAAAATTATTTTGTTTACACCCTAAAATGATATTATATATATCACTAAAAATTATTTTTATCCACACAATAATTATAATATATATTGATATATTATTAAAAAGTGTGAATATAGACTATAATGACACATTAAATATGTTGTTAAATCCCATTCAAAATCAACACTAAAATTATATGTAATTATATATTAAATAAATATATATTTACATATATTATATTTATAATGACACTTTTTATATGTCACTACAATGTAGTGAAGCTTCAAACATGAACTTGAGTGTGGCTGGCAATCATTACCATTATATTCCACTGAATAGAAACTAAAACAAGTTAAACATGCATTAATTATATTATTCTAATCTTCCGTGTATAAGCAACCATGATTCACAAAAATAAACCATAATTTCCAATGGTAAAAAACTAATATAATTAACAAAAAGAAATAAAAAATAAAATGATAAATTTATAAACCTTAATTAAAATCATATATACGTATCATAACATATGATATTGTTACCGACAAGGACGGAGCCAAGGGGGGACCTACGGGTGCCACGGCCCCCCCAACAATTTTAATTTTTTTTTATATTTTTTTTATATGCTTTTGATACTTTAATTTTCATTTATTATAAATTATATATTATTTATTCTCGGCCCCCCAGTATTGAAATCCTGGCTCCGTCCCTTACCGAATATAGAAGAAGAAAACAAGGAATTATGTTTTTCATAAAATACAAGAAAAATTGATGAGACAAGACTCTTCCTCAATCACAATTAATTCATCGATCTATATTAATCGTCTAATAAGATAATGATTAAAAAATCTTCATTTAGAATAAATTGAATAACACAATTCATTCAAAACACAAACTCAATATAATAATAAATGGATTTGATTTAAAATAAATAAATGATTGTTATTTCTTCTTTCAGTTTAACCTCAATTATAATGCAAGAGTTGACTATATACATAACAAGATGAATTTTAAGTATCAATCAAGATTAAATTGAAATCAAGCTATCCATTTGTGAAAATGGTAAAATTTAGGATCATTTATAATACAATTAAAGTTTATTGTACCTATTTATTAATAGGATAAAGTTTAAGGATTAATTAAAATTAAATTAAATTTTATTAAAGTTTGAGATAATTAAGTACTTTTCCCCCTAATTTATATATAATGATATAAAATTATTTTTAACTGCTAATAATTTATTTTAATAATATTGAAATACAATTAAGAAATAAAATTGAGAATCACAAATAAAAAAGAGATGAAAAGTTAACAAAAAGTCCTTAAAAAAATATTATCGTTAACAAAAAAATAGTTAAAATCATTTTCATTAATTAGTATGATAATAGGTAGCATTAGAATGACAAAGTAAGCTTTCACACTTAGAAAGTATCTTAATTAAATTCTATAAGTAATCATTTTAGCTATACACAAATATACCATGATCTTACAAATATGGGATCTAAATCCGATCCACAGATAGAAAAATAAAAAAATGAAATGAAAGTGAGTGTGTAATGTGTTTGTACTTTTGAGTTTTGATAGAAAAACTCGCGAAGCTAAAATGGTATCCCCACAAAGTGGAAGCAGAATGAATGTGACTGAAGATACGGCCTCATTCAACCGTTTCCCATAGTGTTGCACGTGTGGGGTCACCCGCGAAACCCACAGAAGCAAGCAATCACCAAAAAACGTACCCAAAACATAGTAATAGGTTTTGGTACTTTTGACTTTTCAAACAAACAGGTGTGTCTCTCTAACTCTGAACTGTCCATTTGTTCCAACTACATGAAAAAACATCATAAACTTTTGAGATTTCCTCTGTTTTATTTATCACATGTACCTACTAAAATCTGAATTTCCTTACAAGGACATGGTGTTACATTTTATGTTCCCTCTTTCTCCTTTTGATTATTATTATTATTTTTTTAATTTTCTTGCAACCAAACACCGCCCCATAATAAAAGAACAAGGAAAAACACTTCACCAGATAACATTCAAAGAACCTAGACGGTGAATTGGTTGCATGGTTTGTTTAAGTGCCACTTTTCATTGATGGGTTGCAAAGTTTCAAAATAAAAATCGAGTCTTTTGGTGACGACACACGAGAACCACCGATTGTGGAGAATTGAAAAGCAAGCTATAACTGTTTCTGGGTACTCTCTTTATGTGTAACAAATACATATAAATATATTTTTTTTTTTCCTCTTTTCGGTGGGTTTTGATCAATTTATTTCAATTTGTAAATTGTGACAGGGTGAGATTGGAATCCTCCACTTTCAATGGCTTGCATGAGAAGATTAGGAAGGAGAGGTGGGTTTTAAGTCTAGTTATGTTAGACTTTATTCTTCAAACTTAATATGATTTTTGAATAGACACTTAGTGGCTCTTGAGGGTTTGAAAAAAGTTCGTGTTTTGGTTTTGTCTTGTTCTGAAGGAGGTGTCCAATTCTCTTCCGTTCTATGCATGTGCTTATATAAAGTGAAGACTAAAAGTAAATGTTGTGGCGCCACGTTAACGATTATGTATCTTACTACATATTATTATATTGAATGGTAGATTGTGATGATTCTTTTGAATGGTCAAACATGATTCTGGTTGTCATTTTTATTTCCTAGGGTCGAACTCGTGGGCTCTCGAACTTGATTAAGGTTTAAGAATTCGATTCCTTTTAACTTTTCTTTTTCGAGGATGACATTTTTTAAGTGTAACCTAACAGATAATATTTGATAATTATGAGTCCATAGGTATAAAATATGAAATTGAGTGTGTCTTTGGTTAGCTTGTTTTGTAATTTGCATGTACAATTTCAAGACAATTTTTTTTTTTTTTTGCAATTAGGGTTTTTGGCTTTCCGGTAGGACCTCGACATGTTTTGGGTTGATAAGGGTTTTATATGTAAAATAAATTAATTTTAACATGCACAATCCCACACATAACTAAATACTAAATTTCACCTTCAATTTCCCTATTTCTGGTGATTTGTCAGATTCTTTAGTTTATATGCCGCATGCTGGTAGTCCCCTTGACATAGGAAACCAACACAAAGGCTTCCATAGCTAGTTGTGACTTGTGATGGATGGACCACAGTTCAAGTTCTTTCTATTTTTTTTTTACTTTTTGTACTCATTGGCTTTTGAATATTCACAAGCATTTCACGTTGTCATTTACTTTAATAATATTATAATAACTTCTAGCTGCTGCTAACTATTGTTTGCTAGTCAGCACCTTCTCATACTATATATTTCGTATTCCCCCTCCATTCTTCGTATAAAGCAAACTAAGGACTGTTATATGCACACCTGAATTTGAGTTATTTAGCATTCATGGATTGTATGGTAATTGAAATTTGGTACTTAACATTGATATGTTTTAATTTATTTTCATTTTTTTAACTATGCATGACACTGACATGTATGTGGTTTCGGTTCACACCTCATTTGGTAAGTTTTCTGTTTCAGCTTGACTATAGCTCTTGACTTGGAGTTATATAATCCAAACTATCTTCACAGTAGTCTTTCTGCTCAAGAAGTCTTTGCCGGCTCAACCAGTGACTTTCACTTTTCTCTCTGCTTCCTCTCCATTGAATTCAGGTTGGTTAACTTCAATGTTTCTGAATTACTGTTCAGTTATTAAGATCACTTTATCATTAATCTACACCAGAGGTCCTTATGTACATGATTTTCTTCACTTTGGGTTGAATACTTGAGTTGCAAGCATCATGATATGCTTCAGTGACAAACTCTACAGGCATAGAAGGGTGTAGGATCCTGTCCTGAATGCAATATGAACCATATTCTTCTTGAGATTCAATGCTGCAGTTAAACTGTTTCTATCACTCACCCATGGAGATAAAATTTTACCATTGTATTACAGCTGAAAATCATTGTTGATGTCCTCAATGGGTGGTTCAGCTGATGAAAATCTTGAAACAAAAGAGATGGATGCGAGAAGTGTGTCATCTTCACATGGCCAGGAACCATATGTCCACAAGGTTGGAATTCCTCCAAGACAAAACCTTTTCAAGGAATTCCAAGCCACTGTGAAAGAAACATTTTTTGCAGATGACCCTCTCCGGTCCTTCAAAGATCAAACTAAGTCCCGGAAGCTCATCCTTGGCATTGAAGCCATTTTCCCCATTCTTAGCTGGGGGAGAAATTATAGTCTCACAAAATTTAGGGGGGATCTTATTGCTGGTTTAACTATTGCAAGTCTCTGCATTCCCCAGGTAAATTTGCTTGAAAATGCTGATTTTTAGCTTTTGAAGAATAATAGAATGATAGATCTGAGTAAAGCATTATAATTCCTACTTCTTAACTCATTCCGAATGTTTTAGATTGTAATATTTCTCTTGAAAAACAGGACATTGGATATGCAAAACTTGCTAATTTAGATCCACAGTATGGATTGTGTAAGACTCTTGTCTCAATAACAGCTAAACTCGCCCAAGTTTTTTTTGGATATTGGATTGAGATTTTGTTTCCTTTTCTTATACCCTTTACAGACTCCAGCTTTGTTCCACCACTGATTTATGCTGTCATGGGTAGTTCTCGTGACATCGCAATAGGACCAGTGGCAGTGGTTTCTCTCTTGTTGGGGACTTTACTCCAGAGTGAGGTTGATCCCGTTACAAATGTAGTAGACTATCAACGATTAGCTTTTACTGCCACTTTCTTTGCTGGAATTACTCAAGCAGTGCTTGGGATTTTAAGGTATTATGACACTTTGACCTGGGGAATTTGCTTTAGATCTTTCCAACACTAATGTTTATGCCTTGTACATGTGCTAGAGCCACCAACCTCGAATGGAATGCTCTACTTTTTAATACACCTTGATGACATTCTGATCGGGTGGATCTTTTGATCAGGCTTGGATTTTTGATTGATTTCCTATCTCATGCTGCAATAGTCGGTTTTATGGGGGGAGCTGCTATCACAATTGCCCTTCAACAGCTTAAGGGCTTCCTTGGGATTGTAAAGTTCACAAAAAAAACAGATGTTATCTCTGTGATGCATTCAGTACTGTCGTCAGCCCATCATGGAGTATGCTTTGTCTTTTCGTCTCTGCTGCACACAAATTATTACTGGAGTTTTATTTTGAAGATGCATGTAACACTAAAACTGATTAATATCTAACATATTGCAGTGGAATTGGCAAACTATAGTTATTGGAGCTAGCTTTCTGGCTTTTCTTATGTTTGCCAAGTATATTGTAAGCACACCAATTCATTTGGCTACATATTTCTTAAACATATTATGGAGATTGTAAATTATTTTCTCATTGTCTTACGATATGTGGATCAGGGAAAGAAGAACCCGAAATTCTTCTGGGTGCCAGCAATTGCCCCATTGATATCTGTTATTCTCTCCACTATTTTTGTATACTTGACCCGTGCTGACAAGCATGGTGTTGCAATTGTAAGTATATATAATTAATATATATTAGTATATTACCCTTCTCATGCTCAATATGGTTGATTATAACTTTAGTCATATGATTAAATGCTTGTTTGGTAGAGCTATTTTATGGAAAAATAATTACTTTCTTTTCAAAAGCCTTCTCATAAAACTACCAGAAAAAAAATGTTTTTTTCTCTCCAAAATATGCTAATTCAAAAGTGTGCCAAGTGTTGGTAAGATTGAAACAGTACTAATTGCAGCAGTATTAAAGCTTTCTGTTTATTGATATTTGAAGGTAAAACATATAGAGAAAGGGCTCAATCCTTCATCTGTCAAGCAAATTTATTTTACTGGTAATTACCTTGGGAAAGGTTTCAGAATTGGCATCGTGGCTGGCATGATAGCATTGACCGTAAGCAAATGTTGACACTATAATCTTCATATGAAGAATATTTTACCATTTACTTTCAGGTGTTGTTATGAACTGTTACATTTTGTTATCAGGAAGCCACAGCAATTGGAAGAACATTTGCTTCTATGAAGGACTATCAACTAGATGGAAACAAAGAAATGGTGGCATTAGGAGCTATGAATGTTGTTGGTTCAATGACTTCATGTTATGTAGCAACTGGTAAGTTCAAACAGATGTTTTATGAACCTAGCTACTTTTTTTCCATTAGGTGCTGTGAGAATGATATAAATGGTCATGTCTAATGAAAGGAGTTATAATATTTTTCTTTTAGCTGCTGCAATGCAAGCCTATAAATCATACTATAAAGTATAAACGAAGAAAATAGACAAGAATAGAAGTTAGGATTATGTTTATTGGGATAAATTTCACTTTATCCCTATGTAGTTTATCCTTTTCAAAATACCCTCCAATGTTTTATGATATCACTTAACACACTTCAATTATGGGTATAAAAGTTGATAACTAACTTTTCAGTTAACAATAGTGGTAGTTTAACATTTTCTCAACCTAACCCGCCTCCAAAAGTTAATCTGTAATGTGTAAAGAAATTTAGGGTTGAGAAGGTACTAATCATAAAGAAGTATTGTGTAATAAGCAGTGACTGATGTTAAAGTTATCTGAAAAGGTTAAGTGTTTTCAATATAAAACTAAGTTGAGGCGGTTAAGTAACACAAAAGAAAATAAAAAAAGTTGAAGGGTTATTTGGAAAAAGGAGAAACTACATGGGGATAAAGTATAATTTACTCTAGTCATTTTAAATGATAGTTTGTTTCATAAATCATGGAAATGCATGCAAGTGGGTTCTATACTAATTTTTTATAGGTTATAGACTAAACTCTTGCTATTTACAGGTTCTTTCTCTCGGTCAGCAGTAAATTTCATGGCTGGTTGTGAAACTGCAGGATCTAATATTGTCATGTCTATTGTTGTGTTCTTGACCTTGCAATTCCTCACTCCCCTTTTCAAATACACTCCAAATGCCATACTTGCTGCTATCATAATTTCTGCTGTCATCAACCTTGTGGATTATAAGGCAGCAATTTTGATATGGAAGATTGATAAATTTGACTTTGTTGCTTGCATGGGAGCATTTTTTGGAGTTGTTTTTGCCTCAGTTGAGATAGGACTTTTAATTGCAGTAAGTACTATAACACAGTTATCCTATGCTCCATAATGTTAAAGAGGTCTCTGATTGGTAGTATCAACTTGGATATTGTTGTGGTAGGTCTCTATATCCTTTGCAAAGATCCTATTACAAGTCACAAGGCCAAGAACTGCTATTCTGGGGAAAATCCCTAGGACTACTGTCTACAGAAACATTCTACAATACCCAGAAGCCACAAGGGTCCCTGGTGTACTGATTATTAGAGTTGATTCTGCAATATATTTTTCCAACTCCAACTATGTTAAAGAAAGGTAAAATTGTTCCTCCCTTGTACCTTTCAAGTTTTTATTGATTAGCTGTTATTTGGCCTTCTGTATTGAACAGAAACGGAAGAATCAATCATATACAGTTGTCTACTTCTCATTTTATTTTTTGTCTCAATAATCTAAAATGATAAGAGAACAGTTATAGTAGTATTGTTCTGAAAATATCCGGCATCACTACATTTGCTGCATGTTGTATGAAGTTTCAATGTGGATGTACCGGGAGAACACCTAATCAATATCAAATATCTTATGTGAAGTGTTTAAGGGGTTGATTAGGTAACTTTTTCAGAAGCACTTTAAGAAGAAAAAAATAAAAAGAAAAAATGAAATAAATTTCTCTATAAATTAATTTGTAGAAACTCTCTTTTATTAACTTCTTCAAAATCTTATTTTTAACTTGTATGTAAGATAGTTTTAAGTTAATTTCAAATTTTCTTTCTATTTTTTTTCTCTTAGAAGTAGTTATAGAGAAGTTCATCCAAATAGACCCTAACTTTATATTTTAGACATGCATCCCATTATAGCTTGAATATTGTTAAAAAGGAGGTTAGTTTTGGATTCTAAACAGGAAAGACTCACGGTCAAAAATAAAATAAAATAATGCAGGATGAACCAATTGGATAGTTATACTATCTGATTGTGATAGCCAATTTACTATTTGGAGGGTTTGTATCTTAAATTCGTACTTGAAGAATTTCAAATTATTCACAGAAATAAATTTTGTTTCTCCCTTCTCATGTGCGTTATTGCTCTAAAATGTTAATTTCACAACCTATATCTGATGCCTATGACCTATTCTCTTGCAGGATATTAAGATGGCTGATGGACGAGGAAGAACGAGTAAAAGGAGACTACCAAACAAGAATCCAATTTTTGATAGTTGAGATGTCACGTGAGTGTATATTTTCCCTTTTTTCTCATCACATTTTCCTCAAATAAGCACATAATTTTGTGCTGTTCTTAAACGTTTGTTTATTCCAGCTGTTACCGACATTGATACCAGCGGCATCCATGCCCTTGAAGAGTTATTTAGAAGTCTTCAGAAGCGAGATGTTCAGGTAATTATTATCGGAAACTTTTCAAAAAAACACTTATGAAAGATAAAAAAAATAAAATAAAGTTTTTTCATAAATTCAAACCATCTTATGTATAAACTAATTTAATTCATAAAGAAATCTATTTTATTTTTTCTTTTAAGGAATGTTTTTTAAAAAGTTTATTCAAACAGTCTAAATATATCATGTGACGTTAATTATCTTACCAAAGAAACACCACTTTGAGCAGCTTGTTCTGGCAAATCCTGGTCCAATTGTAATAGACAAGCTCCACACATCAAACTTTGCTGCTTTTCTTGGTGAGGACAAGATCTTCCTCACTGTTGCAGAGGCTGTTGCATATTGCTCTCCAAAGCTGGCTGAAGACCCTTGAAAAGAAATATTGGAAAAATGTGAATTTGCCATCGTTAGGATAGGGAAAACGAGGTGAAGAAATGAAGTGGGGGGTGTTAGAGATCAATCGACCTGTGGCTTTCAGCTTGCAAGAGATGGTCACTACAAAAAGTTGTCACAAATTACAATACCTTTGTGCTGGTTGGTGCTATGGGGTCCCTATCCTATAAGGTGAAAATAGAAGATATATACATAAAGATAAAGGTGCGCTTGTTGTGCGCTCCAATAAGCATTAATTCAGTATCTGGTTTGTGTTATCAGCTCCATTGTCTATATCAGAAATGGTCTCTTTTTCCATCGTTATGTTGTACTCAATGAAAATTATAGCTTCATTAAGGAAAGTTTTCATCCCCCTTTCTTGCAAATTTTCCGTTTTCCTTCCATTTTGTGATTGTAAATGTAAAGGTTTGGTTTGAGCTATAGGTAATTGTAGTAGTAGTAGTTCAAGACAAGATTAATGCAGCAGGTACATTATGTTTTTCATTTTTTTAATGTGAGGTGGATTTCGATGTGGTTTTAGCTTTTGTATGTTGAACATGGTCGCAAACACATGCAACATTCATGCAAACAGATTTTGTAGAACGTGTAAAACACGCGACTGCGTCAGATAAGCCTACACGA